GACCGGCTCCCGCTCACTGGCTGAGCGAGGCGCGGGAGCAACGCCGAGGCTTGCGATCCCGTTGCCGGTCCCCGGTCCGGTACGGGGGCAACACTGAGGGTTGCGATCCGTTGCCGAACACGGAAAAAAGGACAAAAGACAAAAAAAAAAAAAAAAAAAAAAAATATTAAGCATCTCCCAGTGATTTATAGATTTATTCAACAGATATATTTGAGCTCTTTTGAGACACCTTTGTTATAAAGCAATCTTTTAGAAAATGATGGAGATGAGGTATAGATTCCATTTAGGAAGAATATAAGTCACTTTTAGAAAGTGTTTTAGAAAGTGTGAACTCTGGATTCAAAACCCACCTCTATAGCTTAATAGCTGTATGATTTTAGGAAAGTAAGACATTTAAAATCTCTGAGCCTACGTTTCTTCCTCAGTCAAAGCTGAAATCATTATGATCTGAGTCATGTGCAAAAAACCAAAAAACCCAACAACAAAGGCTCTAAAGTGAACAAACCAGATATTATTTTTAATGTTATTTGAAATATATTAACTATATGTACTGCCTGTGAAAATAAATAATTTTTTTTTTTTTTCCCCAATAGAAGTTGGCTCTTCCCTCTTGAGACATCCATCTCCTGAGCTTTCCCGGCTAATCTCAGCCCACAGCTCTCTTTCTAAAGGAGAACGAAATTTCCAATGGCCAGTTTTAGCTTTTGTTATACAGCATCATGATTTAGAAGGTCTTGAAATAGCAATGAAACAAGCCTTAAGGAAATCTGCTTGTCGAGTTTTTGCTATGGAGGTATGAATACATTAATGGAGTTCATTGATCATATACATCATGTGATGATTCTATTTAATGATGCCACTTTTCTACCACACAGAAATTGCATCTGACTAAAAGGCATTACCAATCAAGTGTTCACATCAAAATTAAACTCTACAGTTTATGAGTATATGTAAATAAATTTAGAATTCCATATTTACATACGAGAGTTTATTTCTTTATTGCTTTATTATTTGAATTCTGATATTTTCCTTTTTTTTTTAAGTTTTTTGTACTCAGAATGACATTTCATTAGATGAAATGACAAAATAATCCTGCAAAGAGGATAGAAGTAGGGCTTTTGAGTTAAAAATTTACCATTAATAACTTAACCTGGCCTTCCATTCTCTGGTAGGATTGCTGTATATCATGGGCCTGTATATACTAAATCTTTCTTCTTTATCATGAGTGTGATAAATAACCTGCCACTTCATTGGTGGGAATGATATAAATGTATTTGACTAAATGGTAGCTTGTGTACAACTTAAGAAACGTTCTTCATTAATCCTAAATACAAGTTGGAAAAAAATGTGCTTGAGTAAATTAATATTAAGAAGAATTTTTAAAATAAAGTGTGATTTGAAAAAGTATTTTGGTATTATAATTCCTAAATATTATTTTCCCTATTATAAGGTTTTTTTAAAAATTAGGATAAAAATTATTGACAATTTCAAGTTCAGTGTTCTTTCAGTGAAACGAAAGTCAGATTTTCTAGTATCTTTCCTTGAAACACTTAGTCCATGGAGGTACTTAATTTCTGAGTAAGAAAAAAACCTACATTTTTTACTCATATATTTTCTTTTTGTCTTGGACTCATTTAACCATTTATTCAGGCTTTCAACTGGCTTCTGTGTAATGTCATCCAAACAACTTCTCTCCATGATATTCTGTGGCATTTTGTGGCATCACTGACTCCTGCTCCAGTAGAACCAGAGGAAGAAGATGATGAAGAAAATAAAACAAACAAAGAAAATGCAGAACAAGTAAGATTTTTGTGTTTTTTGTCAATATTTGTATAGAAACTGAGTAGTACACCTTCAGATGGTGCAATAATTTGCACGATATCAGTCACAGATTATTTAACCTGAAAGCAAGAGTAATATCTCAATGCTATGAGCAAAGTATTAACTAAGTGAAATTTTTATCTCTATCATAGATGCTGACAGTTGTATCTGATTTCTCATGAAACACTATTGTCATAGAGCAGGCAACTGGAAGATATATACTATTACAGTTCAACATATGACATAAACAAAGCAGCATTATTATATAGAGAATCAATCTAATTTTTAACAATGCTGTAAGATATTGGAGGCTAAAAAAGATACTTTAGGGACAGGAAATTCAAAAGTGTTTGCTTGGCTAGAAGGGGCCTGGATTTTTAGGAAGCAGCTTGTAAAATAGAAAAAGCATTGACCTAAACACTGAAAGCCTGGATTCCAGCTGCATTTCTACCCTAGTGTAGTTATATGACTTGTGTGCCTCAATTTCAATATCTATAAAGTGAAAGGGTAATCTAGGTGACATTTAACTTAACTCTCAAGAACTCTAAAATTATATACATGGCGTTTTTTGATTAATCTCCAAGGATATAAAGCAGCATTATCATAATCAGAATTCTTAAAACTCAAGAATTCTTAAAACTCAAGGAAACAAGACACCATGAGCAAGAACTAGCAAAAACAATAGGCAGTGGAAATAGACCATCAACAATTTCAATGGTTGTAATTATCTGTTCATATATAGAATAAATGTGTTTAATAGGTATAAAGAAAGAAAAGAGAAGCTTTAAATTATGAGCATGTAAAAAGAGATATAAAGTGACAGATTTGAAAAAGAACTAAATAAGACATGTAAAATTCTATATTAGTATAATTGGTGTTTTAAAAAAATCAACAAATAAATCAGTTCTGAGATTTTATAGCAAGTTAGTGAAGAAATTGGTGGACTGTAAAAGAGACCTGCAGAAATTACCCAGAATTCAACAGCGAAGCAAGTAGATAAAAAATGCGAATCATTGATAAAATGAGGTGTAGCATTTATCTAATTGCAGTCCCACAAGGAGAGGATGGATAGAATGGAACAGAGGCAGTACAGTAGTCCCCCCTTGTCCTCAGGGGATATGTTCCAAAGACCCCCAGTGGTGACTGAAACTGAGTAGTATCAAACCCTATATGTATTGTTTTTTTCTATACATACATATGTATGATAGAGCTTTATTTATAAATTAGGCACAATAAGAGATTAGCAGTAACTAACAATAAAACTGAACACTTATGACAATATGCCAGCATCACTACTCTTGCACTTGGGGCCATTATTAAGTAAAATAAGACTTTTGTGAACACAAGCACTGCAGTATCAGTCAATCTGATGTCCGAGAGGGCTTCTAAGTGAGTAATGGGCGGGTGGCATCTGCAGTGTGGATCTGCTGTTCAAAGGGATGAGTCATGTCCCAGGCAGGACAGAAAGCTTGAGATTTTATCATGCTACTCAGAACAGTGCACAATTTAAAACTTATGAACTGTTTATTTCTGGAATTTTCCATGTAATATTTTTGGAGTGTGAAAACCAAACAGTGGATAAGAGTGGGGGGTGCTATTGTATATGCATATGAACATATATATATATACACATACATGTATGCATATATATAAACACAAATAGATGCATCACATATGGATTTACCCTACTAATAGATGTGTGAGCACACTAGAATTGATACATATGAGGGGGTCTTCAAAAAGTTCATGGAAAGATTCATATTCTTTTAATTCTATTTTCCACAAACTTTTTGAAGCACCCTCGTATATATGGTATTCATTTGTCTGAAGATTTTACTTATGAGTAACCTTACTGCTTTTTTCCCTAAAAATAATGCAAACATAATTAGTTAATCTTAGCTACTGTATGTTTGGGCTATGGTTTTATTTTGTTTACATTTCTTTTACATGAGCATCTGTAAAGTATATGTAATGCTTTTAAGTATACATAATATTCTTTTGTAAGGAAAGTTCCTTCCAGCACACAATCTAATAAACTTGCTTTCCATTTCTGTTGTAGGAGAAAGATACAAGAGTATGTGAACATCCACTTTCCGATATAGTGATTGCAGGTGAAGCCGCTCATCCTTTACCACATACATTCCACCGCTTACTTCAGACAATCTCCGATCTTATGATGTCTCTCCCCAGTGGCAGTTCATTACAGCAAATGGCCCTGAGGTAATTTTGTATTGAAGTATTCTAGGTACAATGGAGAAGAGATTTTATAGAGTATTCAAAGTGCAAAATGCTCAAGAAATCTTTCTAAATAGGAAGATACAAAGAATCCCTACACTATGTAAATAGTGCCTCACTTCTTACTGTCATAATTTAGAATTGCCCTTCCTCTTAGCTCACATCTGTTTGCCTTTCTGGAAAATGTGGATAATATAATTTTAAGTGCTCTAAATTATCGCTGTCAGTAACAGTCTCCCTTACTTTCCCCTCTCTCCTATCTCAAATTATTTAAATGTTTCAAAAAAAAGGAAGAGGGAAAATGAAATCTCAAAAACCAAAACAGAGTTTGACTTGAAAACAATCTTAAGACACATGGAGACTAGTTATGTAGCCAATCCTAAAACTACCTTAAGAAGAGACACATAATTTTAAGTTGGAATCTGTTGAGAATTTATTACTTTTACATTGTGAACCTCGTTATTAGATCCACATACTGGATGATAGATATAGATAAATCCTCCATTGATTTTTACAAGAAATAGGTTAATGGAATGATTAGGCTTTCCACATCACTAATGATAAGACCAGCAAAAAGAGAATTTTTTGTCCTCTTCACAAGATTTTTGAAGTGCAAGATGCATTATACCCTGAAGAATTAGCATGGAATTGTAAGACTAATAAATTTGAGAGTTGGTATAACACTTGTCTACAGGAGAGATTTATTACCTTTTTTTATTTCTGTAGCCTTGATCTTAATGTGTCTAATTTTTTTATATTTAAAATGGAGGGGGAAGAAGATACAACAATCACAAAAATTCCTTGAACTTTTTAAGTCAAGTGAACAGATATGATGGGGGGGGAGCAGGGGGGAGAGGAATGGGTAAAGGGGCATGAAAATCAACTATAATGTATATTGAGAAGTAAAATAAAATTTAAAATAAATAAATAAATAAATAAAATGGGTAAATTTTCCTTAGAACTTACCTTGTTCCAAAGAATTTACCTTTATTTCTCAAAAAAAAAAGCCAATAGTAATGTTTTTGTTACGTGAATTTTTTAAATTTCTATTTTTTACTAGATCATTAAGATTTCTTGAGATAGTAGCTACAGAGTGCTTTTCCAGGAGTTCCTTAGATGTTCCTGAAAAATAATCATTTAATGTATTTATTATATATGCTTATATATTGCCTTTTTAGATGCTGGAGTCTCAAATTCAAGCAATCTGATCACCAGTTCCTCCATCAGAGCAACGTCTTTCATCACATTAACAATATTTTGTCAAAATCAGATGATGGTGATAGTGAGGAGAGTTTTAGCATCAGTATACAGTCTGGCTTTGAAGCCATGAGTCAGGTCAGTCATTTAACAGTTATTGTCCTGTTAATAGTCAACAGTGTATTAAAGGGGAAACATTTAAGTTACTCATGAACAATTTGATTCTATCTTAAATTATTTCTTATCTCATTTCTGTTTGATTTATTATCATGGAAGACTTTCTTTTGAGTATTAATACTTGTATTTGTTTCTGATAGGAATTATGCATAGTAATGTGCTTAAAGGATTTAACCAGCATCGTTGATATAAAAACTTCAAGTCGACCTGCCATGATTGGCAGTTTGACAGATGGTTCCACAGAAACCTTTTGGGAATCAGGAGATGAAGATAAAAACAAAACTAAAAACATCACCATCAACTGTGTAAAAGGAATCAATGCCCGCTATGTATCTGTTCATGTGGACAATTCCCGAGATCTTGGGGTAAGAAAGGAATCTTAATTTGTGGCTCATTAGTTCTTTTCAGATGTTTAGTAATCATACATTCTAATTTCTGAGTTTAGCAAAAAGATTTATCACTTTGAACTTCACCAACCAAACAGCATTTTTATATTCCCCAAATAAATCTTAAATTTAAGAACAGATTAACGTGATTAGGGGCACTATGGAAAACCAATTCTACGAATAGATCTGATTGTAAATAAGAGGGTACTTCAAAAAGTTTGTGGAAAAGTAGGATGAAAAGATAATATGGGGCTGGCTGGTTAGTTCACTTGGGAGAGTGTGATGCTGGTAACATCAAGGTCACAAGTTCGGATCCCTGTACTGGCCAGCCACCAATGTAAATTTAAAAAAAAAAAAAAAAAAAGGTACGAATCTTTTCATGAACTCTTTGAAGACCCCATATACCATGGCTATAGCTAAGCAAGATAGATGTCTACTCTATAATTTTCTACTTCCATGCCCTTGTTTAAACTATTCCCTTGGCCTGGAAATCCTCCAACTCTGCTCATTGGGTTCTTCCAAGATCTTTAAAACTCAGCAGAGAAGTCCTCTCCAAGTAACTCTTCTACAAAAATTACTCTCACTCTCCACTGGATTCATTTTTATAGTACTCTGATGGCACTTAATATACTTTGACCTATAGTGTAATTAGCATTAAGTTTCTTCTTCTCACCCCCATTCCTATTGGGGGGGAGAGTTCCTAGACTAACCTAAATAATCATAATTTATATTCTCCCTAGCCCTACTCTGTCTACATGTTTTAACTGAATTATGCATTCTTTTATAAAAGGCACTAAAGAAAGGGAAAAGAGTACTTTTTATTTGAGTGTTAAGAACCAAGAAGAAAATAGGACCAATTACCAAGCTCCCATTATTCTACCCCAGTACTTGGAACTTTTTCCCTCAGAATGGATGTGGCTTGCTAGTGGATGCAGTATTAATGGATCCCCTCAGACCATTGCTAAGCTGCTCGTGTGCCATTTGTATATTTCCTTTCCCAGGAAGAGCCTGAGTAGTGAGGTTGGGTTTCAGATAACCTGGATGTACAGCCAACCATAGCAGTCTAATTTGAAACCAGAGCATTCTTTGCCATCCACAGCAACCCCCAACTCCTGTACATCAGAGCAGATTCAATTCTTCCCTGGTGTTGAATAAGAAAAAGGGGCTTAGCTAATATGTTATGAGCTTATTTCCACTTCAGACCAAGTTGTACCAAGAATTTCAATTAGTACAACTACTTTATCTTACTAGAAAGCCAAGTGTAATAAATCAAAACATTTTTATAGCTAGAACTCACTGTTCAGTACAGTGTTATCTTTGACTCATGGTACATTTTAAGACAGGATATACTCTCCCCTAGAACAGTGATTGCAATCAACTTGGTATTTTTGTCTTTTCTAAGAGGAGATAACCATAACAGTATTCATTTTAAAAATCTCCAGTATGTAAACTGACATCTACTTTCCTTTTAAGAGACTTCCTCTATGGTATATATGGATCCTCCTTGAGCTTATGTACCCCTGTGCCTCCCAACCTGCCCACCACAGCGACTTATACACAGCATTTATTGATTTGAATTGCATCCAACCCATAGCACTCATAGTAGGCAGCTGTCCAAGGAATTAATGTTAATATATTTCTTGATGCACTTTGCATAAAACTTACACAACTTTAAAATCTCTGGCTCTGCAACCAACCTGACTCTTTTTCACTACTTAAAGGTATTGAGCTTCTACTATTTGATATTTATTTTGTGTGTTAATGTTGCCTTCCCTAGTTTGCAAGTATCTTGAGGGAACAGAACCCATTGTTTTCATATCTCCTTCTCCAAGCCTATAAGAACTCTGGGTACATTGTGACACTCATAACTATTTGTTAGTTAAGTTACCTTCTTTCCTCTTACTTCCAATAGTAATGAAAATATAGCAACAAAAGTGGGACATGAGTGACTAGCAGAGTTGTTAAAGGCTTTATAAAGATATAGAACTTGAATGTTTAGACTTTGGATAAAGAGGGAGGTCAAGCTGTGAGAGAGCACATGGAGAAAGGCTGAAACGTGAGTTTTAAGATGGAGTTTGTGAGAATAAGAAAAGACTGGAGTTGTAGGAATTGTGGTTAGTTGGACAGATGGGATGAGATCACTTACAAAGGGCCAGAAAAGACAGGCAGAAGAGTTGATATGGTATTGGTAGCTTGTAAGAAATCATTATAAGTTCCGAAGCAGGAATATGGCATAACTATTTTGAATTGTCTATTTTAGAACAAAGTTACCTCAATGACCTTCTTAACTGGCAAAGCAGTAGAAGATTTGTGCAGAATAAAGCAGGTAATTGAAATTTTGTCATTAAACGTTTTGCTACCTAGGGAGATATTTCTTCTTCTCAGCCTCCACTGTTGAGTCCCAGTTTGGGCATGCTACCAAAATATCATAGAAAAATCACATATTTATAAAATGCTAAATTGACAAATGGCCCGTATGTAGGAGCAGTAACAATCATCCCTGAGCTAGACTTCTCACCCGTTATTGCCCTAAATGTTCTCCAGTCATGATGGATTATATTGTGCCTGTGGACTCTCCACCCTACCACCATTCCCCTGCAAAGATTCAGGGTGTCTTAAAATTCATCACAGATCAGATTCACAGTTAACATCTTAATTATGTTAAAACAGGTGTTCTCTAGCCTGAAATACCTATCTGTTATAACACTGCAGCCATATTCAGGTTGCAAGTCAGTTTACAAACCAACTCTAGAAACAGATTTTGTCTGGGCATGTGTCTGAGATTGTGTACAAGCTCTTACTTGTGTTAGTATAACTTTGTCAAAACTTTCCTTGAGGATTTTATCCCCCAAAAGTTGGCCAGTTGTTTTTGTTTTCCCAAATAATGTGAAAGAATGAGTTGAGATTTGGGGTTAAATAATGAGTTTTGTTTAAATTGTTAAAGAATTCAGAGAAATAATCCTATTCAGTGAGACCATATTTGTTAATGTGTAATACCAATTTTAGAAAATTGATATTAGCAATTAAAAAATGTCAACTTAAATGTCTATATAAATCATGTAGGAGTCTCAAGATCATTTTTTGGTTATCAAGTGCCATAAGAACAATTTTCATTTTATCAAGGGAATAGTGTCAAAATCCATTTCACAGTGTATTGATGTTTAATCCCTGAAAAAAGTTATATTCTTAATGAAATTCAGTGAAATAAGGAATCACAAGTGTGAAGTTATGTATTATACAATATTTCTTCAAGAGTAAAACATATTAAGTAACTGCTCATTGAAAATATGTCTCTTTAAATGGTGCTTTATGTGACGATGCATAAAACAGGACCTCATTGCTGATCTTCTGAATGTTTCTATTACATTTAGTGTAGGCATAGTACAGTATAGGTAAAGTACAGTCATTTAAATTGTGTGTAAAGGATTCATTCACACAACTTGTGCTGGGAAGCCATATGGTAGTCAGGCCTGGATTTTAATTCTTAACTCCATCACTTACTGAGAATCCCTCAACCTGTGTTAATTTCAGTTCCATCATCTGTATAATAGGTACTATAAATACTGCTACTTATACTCACAGGTTTAAATAAGATAATCAGTGTGAAATAACCTAATAACCTTTACTCTCTGTACAAATTGTTACTCGAGCTTGCTGTTAATGCTAAGTGGTGGACAGTGATAAAAGGGATTCAGCTGTCTCAGGTCCCTGTTCCTTTTCTACTCGATCAGGTCGATCTGGATTCCAGGCACATTGGTTGGGTAACAAGTGAACTTCCAGGAGGGGATAATCACATCATCAAAATTGAATTAAAGGGCCCAGAAAATACACTAAGAGTTCGACAAGTAAAAGTCCTGGGCTGGAAAGATGGTGAAAGCACAAAAATTGCTGGCCAGATTTCAGCCAGTGTGGCCCAGCAAAGGAACTGTGAAGCAGAAACTCTGCGAGTGTTCAGGCTTATTACATCTCAAGTGAGTGTCCTTACTACATATTCTGTCATGGGACAAATTGACATAATATATTTCAAAAGTATAACAAAATGTCTTATAAAACTTTTTAGAGATTTCTGGCTACAAATGTGGCCCATTTTTACTTCTTCTCATAGTCCTAAATGCTTGCGTTTCATGTTGTATTCATAATTCAGAAAAGTAGTGGTGTATGTAGCAGCAATAGCATATGATAAAACCTGCAGAATCAGCTAATGAGTCCTCTAGCTTTCACAGTTCTCTAGCTGTTATTTATTCCTTCTCATATGCCTATTTTCTTCATCAGGTGTTTGGAAAGCTCATCACTGGAGATGCTGAACCTACACCGGAGCAGGAGGAAAAAGCACTCTTGTCATCACCTGAAGGAGAGGAAAAAGTATACAATGTATTTATATGTATTCTAAAAATATTTATTTCCCTTTTTCATACTCTTATGTTTGTTCAGTGTAATAACCCATGTATTGCTCCATATTTCAATGGATATGTGATATTACTTGTATGCAATTCATATTTTTTACTTTAATTAGAAAGATGGAGGAATTATCTAAAAGAAATTCATTTTTTGTTCATATATAATCGACCTAATATTTTAAGTAACCTTGCTCTGTATCTTGGGCTGTTGTGTTCAATTGTTAACATTTGTAAAATTAACTTAGTCATTGCTGTGCTATACCCCATCAGTTATCTTTTCTCTACTCCATTTTATCTGTCCTTCACAGTCTAGCTCAAAAATACTATCTTTTCCATGAACCTTCCTTATGATTTCCCCAAACAAAAACCAGTTTTCCCTCTGCTAAACTTCACAATAATCTATATGTGTCTCTTAGTTTCTCTCTTTTTATGTTAAGTCAGGTTATTGAAGTATAATTCACATACAAAAATATTCATCCTTTTAAACAACATCTATCATTCAATTAGTTTTTACTAATGTGTACAGTAGTGAAATTATCATCATAATCAAGTCTTAAAATACATCACTCCCAGAATTTCCTTAGTGTTCCTTTACAGACAGTTCCCCCATCTCACACTTAGATCCTGGCAACCGCTGAACTGTTTTCTGCTCCAGTAGTGTTGCCTTTTCCTGGATATCATATAAATGGAACCACATACAGCATGTAGCTTTTTCATCTGGTTTCTTTGACTATTAGGGTAATGCCGTTAAGATTCATACATGTTGTAGCGTGTATCAGTGATTCATTTTTTTGGTTGCTGAGAAGTATTTTATTATATGGATTTACCATAATTTGTTTATCCTTTCACTTTTTGGTGGATATTTGCTGCTGTGAATGTTTGCATACAGATCTCTGGGTGGATATGTTTTCATTTCTGCTGGGTAAAACTTATGAGTAGGATTGTTTAGTTGAATGTAAGTGTAAGTTTAACTTTTTAAGAAACTGCCAAACTATTTCCAAAATGAATGAACCATTTCACATTTTTACCAGCAGTATATGAGATTTCCATTTGTTCCATCCTTAACAGCACTTGGTATTATCACTTTTCATTTCAGAGGTACTAGTGGGTGTGTAGTGGTATTTCATTGTGGTTTTATTATGGATTTCTCTGATGACTAATAATATTGAGCAAATTTTCATGTGTTTATTTGTCATTTATATGCCTTATTTGGTGAAGTGTATATTCCAGTCTCTTACCCATATTTTCACAGTTGGGTTGTTTGTCTTATTGTCTTCTTACTGAGTTGTAAGATTTCTTTATATATTTAGGATACAGGTTCTTTACCAAATACGTGTTTTCAAATATTTCTTCTAGTCTTTGTCTGAGAGTAGAAGTTTTCAGTTTTGATGAAGTCCAATATCTGTTTTTTCTAGATGATTCATGATTTTTTTTTCTTGTCTAAAACCCAAAGTCACAAAGATTTTCTCCTGTTTTCTTCTAGAAATGTTATAGTTTTAGCTCTTTTGTTTAGAACTATATACATTTTAAGTTAATTTTATGTACAGTATAAGATAAGGATTGAGGTTCATTTTTTTTTTTTTTTTTTGTCTTTTTTCCGTGTCTGGCAACGGATCGCAACCCTCAGTGTCGCCCCCGTACCGGACCGGGACCGGCAACGGGATCGCAACCCTCGGTGTTGCCCCCGCGCCTCGCTCAGCCAGTGAGCGGGAACCGGTCTGTATGTGGGATCCGAACCCTCGGGCGGGAGCGCCGCCGCGCTTCACAAGTGGCGCACTATCCAGTGCGCCACTGGGCCGGCGAGGTTCATTTTTTTGCATGTGGATATCCAGTTGTTTTACTACATTTGTTGAAAAGACTATCCTTTATCAATAATCAATACACCATAAATGTGTCGGTCTATTTCTCGACTGTCTATTCTGCTCCGTTGATCTGTATATATATCTTATACCAACAACAAACTGTCTTGATTACTAATGAAACTGTCTTGATTACTATAGAAAATCTTGAAATAGCTTCCAACTTTGTTTTTTGTTGTTGTTGTTATTGTTTTTCAAAATTCTTTTGGCTATTCTAGAGCCTTTGCATTTCCATGTAAAGCTTAGAATAAGCTTGTTGATTTCTTCACGCACACACACAAAAACTTGTTGGAATTTTGATGGGAATTCCACCACATTGGGAAAAACTGACATCTATAAACACAGTATATCTCTTAATTTATTTAGGTCTTCTTTAATTTCTCTCAACAGTGTTTTGTAGTTCGGTGTACAAGTCTTGTACACATTTTATTAAATTTATTCCTAAACATTTCATGTTTGTAATGCCATTGTAAATTGTATATTTTATTTCATTTTCTGATTGTTCATTTCTTGCATATAAAAATACAGTTGACTTTTATGTATTGGATTTCTATCCTATGACCTTATAATCACTTATTAGTCTTAAAAACTTTTTGTAGACTCCTTGGGGTTTTCTTTATAATCATGTAGTCTGCAAGAAAAGTTGGTTTTACTTCTTTCCAATCTATGCCTTAAATTTCTTTTCTTGTGTTATTGTGTTATTGTACTAGTTAAGCTCTTTAGTACTATGTTGAATAGAATGAGAACAGTAATCTGCCTTGTTCTGGATCTTAAAAAGAAAGCATTCAATCTTTCACCATTAAGTGTGATGTTAGGGGGCTGGCCAGTTAGCCCAGTTGGTTAGAACATGATAACACCAAGGTGAAGGGTTCAGATCCCCATACCAGCCAGCCACCAAAAAAAAAAAAAAAAAAAAGTGTGATGTTAACTATAGATTGTTTTTGTAAAAGCTCTTAATCAGATTGAGGATATTTCCTTCTATTCCTAGTTTGCAAGTGTTTTTATCAGAATAGACATTCTTATGTATATTTCTTTCTGTTTTTTTTACTTTCATTCAGTAAAATAATTCATATATTGCTATGCATTTTAATCAATATGTGATATTAGCTTATATATAGTTCATTTTTCTTTAATAAAGAAAAAGATGAACTAGAGGGGTGATAGCTACTTCTTTTGGGAGTGATGAAAATGCTCCAAATTGACTGTGTTTATAGTTGTACATATCTGTCAATATACTAAAAACCACTAATTATACACTTTAAATAGGTGAATACTATAGTGTGTGAATTATATCTCAATAAAGCTTTTTTATTAGTAATTTAAAAAAAAATTTTTTAAATTTATTTTTGGTGGCTGGCCAGTAGCTGGATCTGAACCCTTGACCTTGGTGTTGTAACACTATGTTCTAACTGAGCTAACTGGCCAGCCCAAAGTTTTTTAAATAAGGTGAAAGAACTATCTAAAAGAGACTCATATGTAATCTAGCTAGTGTTTATGTAGCAGAAAAAAATTGCTCTATTCTACAAATTCACAAATTTTGTCACAAATTTTGGTATATTTTGTTTTCATTTTCATTCAGTTCAAAATATTTTCTGACTCCCAGTTTTTTTTCTTCTTTGACTCCTGGGTAATTTAGAAGCATCTTGTTTAATTTCCAAATATTTGAGGATTTTTCTGATAGTTTTCTGTTATTAATTTGCTAGCTTAATTCCGTTATGGTCAAAAAATATACTTTGTATAATTTCAGTCCTTTTAAAATTAAGATTTGGATTCTGGTTCATAATATCATCTATTTTAGTGAATGTCCATATGCACTTGAAGAGAATGTGAACTCTGCTGTTCTATGAGGGGTTCCATAAATATCAATGAATTCAAGTTGGTTGATAATATTATGTAAGTCTTGAAGAATCTTAGTGGTTTTTGTTTGGTTTTTTTGCTTGTTTACTTGTTCTGTCAAGTACTGAAAGAAAAGTTTTGAAGTGTCCAAATATATGGATTTGTCTGTTTGGAATTTAGTTTACCTTGTAGCTGATCTCAACTCTGACAGGTTCAAGAAAAATTATGATCTTCTAGATTATCAGCTTTTTCCTCATTGTTAGGGTAGAAGTGACATTCTTTTGTGGCTCTCTATCCTACAGAATGTGAAACCAAGAACGGTTTTTGATTCTTAAACAAAAGAGTGACTTGCCTCATTTTTCTTACATGTAAAATAAAATGTTAGAGCTTACCTTTTGGAGTTGCTGTGAAGATTAAATAAGATTATATCTGTATGTATATATGAGGGGTCCTCTAAAAGTTCTTGGAAAAATTTGCATTATCTTTTAATTCTATTTTTCCATGAACTTTTTGAAGTACCTTCATATGTATGTTTCTATGTCTATCTGTCACATAGAAGAATGCCATGTACATAATAAGCACTATAAAATTTCATCCTTTTTTTTTTCTTATGATACATTTCTTTGATGGCTGCTGGTGTTAGAATAGCTTAATTTAAAACCACCATAATCACAGTTTTATTAGAACACTTTCCTTTTAACCAATATTATTTTCCTGAATTTCCCTTCTAATATTGAGTATAGGATGTGAAGTAACAATATTACAACTTAGAAATAAATTTAATCAAAGTGACTCAATTTGACTACATTAAAGAAATCTATGAAAGGATAGTATAGGATTTGTTAAGTTCTGTAAATTTGTTCTTTTTATAATTACTTGGGCCAAGTAGTGATTTCTTCAACTTTTTCCTTTGTCTTAGTGTTATAAGCCTCAATTTAAAATAAACTTACCTTAAAAATACCTGCACAATTATTTCTCATTGAAATGTCAAGTATACAAATTTTATTTAAAGAGCCTATTTTTTTTTTCTTTTCTATGTAAAGGCAACATCAGATGCTGACCTGAAAGAACATATGGTTGGAATCATATTCAGCAGGAGTAAACTGACTAACTTACAAAAACAGGTAAGTTAATAGACATTTCATTGTCTTCATCAGTTTTTGTTTGTTTGTTTTTAGGGTATAAAGTGTTTTCCAAAATTTAGGGAGGCTTTTTTTTGCTGGTTCTTTTGTAGGTCCTACAGAATGTGTCTGCCTTTTTTTGTGTGCTCGAGTGATGGATTTGCTAATTACCCTAATTTTGATCATTATTATTGTACACATGTATCCAGACTATCTCATTGTACCCCATACATATGTAAAATTAATTATTCCATGTCAGTTTAAAAATAAGAGAACATGTCCATCTTTTTATAGAGAGGAATGAGTGTATTGGCATACCTGCATCACTTCAAAGATTTTGTTGTGAAGTTAACTTTCTTACCTTGTTGGTTTTTGCTATTTCTCATTTTCAGGTAGGTTGTTTTATTCTGGTGTCAAATACCCAACTGTATCAGATTTCATTTGCATTTTCTGTGTTCCCTTTCCCCCGTTTTTTGTGTTTTTTTGGCCAAGCAATTAATAGTGCTAATTAAACCAGTGTTAATATTTTTAAATATAATTGGGTGGGGGGGTCACTAGGTTGGTCATATAATCATGTACCAGGCAACATAGAAATAGCACTTCAAAAGTCAAATAAAATAATGATTTTACTCTAGCCTATTATTTTTAATTGTAACACCATTAAATCTTTTTTTAAATAAGGGCTATCTGGTTAGCTCAATTGGTTAGAGCACAGTGTTATAAATCTTTTTTTAAAATAAATAATGACAAGTTACACATAAATCCAGCTGGTAAGGAAAGTAAATAAATAAAATAAATAATTAACAACATGAATTTGTTTGTGCTTTAGCCTTCCAGCACTGTTCATTGAATCTTAGGTGCTTTCATTTGTAAAATGTCCTGTTATTTTTAACCACTAAGAAAGAAAAATTGCTGCTAATTATATTGTGAATGTCATCAATTATAAAGCACATTGTAAATAGATGTGTTAAAGTATGAAAAAATGTGCCTCAGAAGTGATAAAACATGGTGATTGGTTTTTGTTTGATGCTCTAAACCTCAGGCAGAAGCATTAGCAACTTGTATGTAATCAATTTCTATGTAGTAGTCGATTTAAATATTCCAATTTTTATCATGGTTTACCTAGTTTTACTTAATTGTTTTTAAGATGAGTTAAGAGAGTGATATGATAGAGAATTAACCTGGAGGGGGAGTGTTAAACTGAGCATCAGCTTATATCCTTGTCTTCTTTTTTCTGTTTAAACTTGAAGTAGTAAATTGAACTTACATATATATTTGTACATTTCTATGTTGCCTTTAAACAGGTGTGTGCTCACATTGTCCAAGCTATTCGCATGGAAGCCACCAGAGTCCGTGAAGAATGGGAACATGCCATATCAAGCAAGGAAAATGCCAATTCTCAGCCAAATGATGAAGATGCCTCCTCTGACGCATACTGTTTTGAGCTACTCTCTATGGTGTTGGCATTGAGTGGCTCCAACGTCGGCCGGCAGTATCTGGCTCAGCAGCTAACTCTTCTTCAGGATCTCTTCTCACTGCTTCACACAGCCTCTCCTAGAGTGCAGAGACAGGTGACTGATCGTACCACTTACCTTTTTGCTTCTGTTACTCGAAACATTGTTAAAAATCACAGTGCAAAGAGAATCACCTAAGGGCCTTAGTATAGATTTTTATTTTTCATTTTGTTCTGGGTCTGTATTTTAACTCCATGTTTTTTATTTTTAACTCTTTATAATGAGAAGATAGAAGAACAAAATATGTTCTATTTTACTAATGTGTTGTGGTAAAGAGTATTCTAGCTACTGATCACCTTATTACCATGAAATATATAATGTCATAGAGTACTGACCAAAAATAAAAGGTATGTTTTTTTTCTTTCTGCCCTGGGTTGGTAATTACCACTCCAGGAGTTACAAATAGTGTTTAAATCATATTTCTGTTCTTCTCAAAGATTTTGAAGTTACAGAATGGTAGTTAGGGGCATTTAAAAATGAAAACTTTAAAATATCAATATTTGAATGGGATTCTCTCCTTTTATTTTTCTTACCAGGTGACCTCTTTACTAAGAAGAGTTTTGCCTGAAGTGACCCCCAGTCGTCTGGCCAGCATCATAGGAGTGAAATCTCTCCCCCCAGCAGATATCAGTGATATCATTCACTCGACAGAGAAAGGAGATTGGAATAAGCTGGGTATCTTGGACATGTTTCTAGGATGCATTGCCAAAGCACTCACTGTACAGCTAAAAGCCAAAGGAACCACCATCACAGGAACAGCTGGTACCACTGTGGGCAAAGGAGTTACAACAGTTACCCTTCCAATGATTTTCAATTCCAGGTTGGTCGTTGCCTCTTTTTTAGTACCAATATAGAACAGCATGAGCTACTGTTGTGAGCATTAAGACATGATTTCAGATTCCACCTTGTTGACTTACTCTCCAAACAGAATCCGTAAACAACTGACCCATGTATGAAAGGAAAGTTATATGACAAAAATGCCATTTGTAATTAGTGGAGAACAGAAAGTAGGCCAAATATATGATGCTAGGATATTTGCATATCCGTGTTGAAAAGATATGTAAATCATATACAAAAGTAAACAAGTTTTATGTTCATATGGTTTTTACAACAATGAAATAAATAATTCAGGGGAAGAAAAAGTAAATTTCAGATCAAGTAAAGCTTTATATATATTTCTTTTAAAACTTTACTAGGACAAATTATAGAAGAATATTTTTTGTAATTTTGAATTTGAGAACACTTTCTTAAACAAAACACAGAATCCAAAAGTTATATAGGAAAAGATTCACTGATTTGGCTACATAAAAATGAAAATTAATTAATAGGTGATACTATTAAAATGTTTTAAAATATAAGCAACTAACTTGGAAAAAAATCTTTTGACCTATATAATAGACAATGAATTATTAGCAGTAACATTCACAGAATGACTACAAATCAATGAGAAAAAGGCCAACAACTGATGGAAAAATAAATGACAAGAACAGTCAGTTTAGAGAAAAAAATTACAAATGCCAATAAAAAATGAAAAGACAACTCACTACTAATCAGAGAAGTGTAGATTAAAACAAGTGCAAATTATCTTTGATCCTTTGGCAGCATTATAAGGAAATAGGCATTTTTATCTAATATAAATTGCTGCAGCTTTTTGGATGTCAGTTTGATAATGTCTCACTATATCTTAAATATGCACATCCTTTGACCCTCTAGTTCTACTCCTAAAACTTGTATACATGTACACAAAGATGTATGTACAAGGATGTTCTATAATTGTGTGTAACAGAAAATTAGAGACATCTGAAACAGTGCTGCTCATAGTGCTACACCATGAAAATAAACAGATATACCAGAAAGTTAATCAGTGTTTTACTTCCTTCACGTAGATAGTCTTGTTAGGGGAAAAAAATGTCAACTTGAACTAAACAGTAGTGTTCTTAGTAATTTAGTCAGTTTACATTCTGGCACATACTCCTTAGTATTTTTATGCGTACTGGAAGCAAATAGTTTGTGGTCCATGGAGTATACTTTGAATATCCCTGTTTTAGAAAATGCACACAAGAATAATGTGCATACAGAGAAATATTTGAAAAGGAACATGAATCAGAGTAGCTGCTCTCCTAGGATTGAGGAGATGGATTTTGGGTAATGTTTCGATTAATTATTTTTAAATGTTTTAATTGATTCAGTAACTTAAAAAATTAAAATGGTGTATGCTGAAATAACATTTTCATCTTTTTCATTTGCAACAACTTTGTTACACTGATAGTTTGATCACTGATAGTTTGTTGGTGTATAAATGCTGATTTTTCTTCATAGTTATCTTCGACGAGGTGAAAGTCATTGGTGGATGAAGGGCTCAACTCCTACCCAGATCTCAGAGATTATCATTAAACTTATTAAGGATATGGCAGCAGTAAGTTCCCATTCTTCTGACATTGTGACAATAAGGTACAGCAGGAACCTGACTGACAAAACAGCTACTCTGCTGAATCTATAGGAGTCCATTAGTGTTATTTTGCTTTACTTAAAAACTGTTTTAATATGCTAACTATTGTGCTATTCTTTTTAATTTCCAATTCTCAAAAATTCTCAAGTAAATTAACTTTTTAAATTAATTACATAATAATTTTTACTTAAGTCTTTCTCTGAAGACTTTAAAACTTAATAAAGTAAATGCTCCTTCAGCCCCTAAGAAAGAGTCAGAGTCCAAAAGCTTCAAGGAAAAAAAAAGGGGCTCCCAGAAGTGGAAGTTTCTCATTCTCTTCAGTCCTTATGCTTTATAAAGGCTTTATTTATTTATTTATTTTTTATTAATGTACTATACCACCATCTCAAGATATTGGCCTTGGGTGGGAGATCTGAGAGTGTGGGGGATAAGGAGTTACGTCACAGAGGGCCTTGCTCTTACTAGTTGCTCCAGAATATCAGTTTCCTCACATTCCATTTTATTTCCAGGAGGCCACCCTGAGGAGGGGAGGGCAAGATACTGTGAAATGTAGGGCCCCAAGAGGCAGATTGAACAGAAGGCATTTTGGAGGAGGAGAAATCGAACTGCCCCTTAAAAGATTGATAACAAGTGGGAGAATATTTAGGGGGAAAGACGAAGTTCCATCACTTTTCCCAATGGCATAGACATTTTCTCAATCTTGTGGCAAACATATCCCTTTCTCGGGATATTCGTTGGATGAAAATGTTTAGGAACACCTAAATTCTCTAATAGTTAAGTGTTGCTGTTCATTAAAAATAAAGGTAGTAGTTTGAACCTGTTTATGGTCTTGGGTTCCTGTAATACTCATATGAAGCAATTAGCTTAGTTGTATAAATTTCATGTTAAATACCAAGGTTCATTACCAAAATTTCTCAAGCATAGTACTTCTTAGTCCTTCTATTATATGTTTATCCAAATGTGAGAGGAAATGCCCTTGAACTCTACGGGAAGAGACTATTGAAAACTTAAATTTGTATTTACTTTTCTCTTAAGTTATCAAATAGTAATTAATAGTTGAATTGTTTTTATAGGGTTGTGAAGGATTTTCAGTTCAAAAATCTGTGCTCTCTGATCTAAAGTTCCGTGATTTTCCTACAAACCTTTATTTATTTATGTACTTATGTATGTCTGTATTCATTTGGTGAGAGATGTTTTTTAAGAGCAAAGAGTTTAGTATGATAATATATTTCAGGCTACTTATTAAAATATTCTGTCTTGCTCAATAGGGTCATCTGTCAGAAGCTTGGTCTCGAGTGACAAAAAATGCTATTGCAGAAACCATCATTGCCTTGACCAAAATGGAAGAAGAATTTAGGTCTCCAGTGAGATGTATTGCAACAACAAGAGTAAGGTTTTTTTGGTGGTTATTTTTTTTTAATTTGGTCTAAATCATTGCATGTTCTATTAGTAATAGAGTTGAATAAATTTTAATCAATAAGTCAACTTAATCCACTTTTTTTTCCCAAATATAATAAATTTTAATCAATAAGTCAACTTAATCCACTTTTTTTTCCCAAATATTGTATAAAGGGCATTTTATGAATTATGAATTAAATATGGTAGACATACTATTCACTGTTACATATTCTGTATCACCTGTTTTTTTTTACTATTTAGGAGGCTAAGAATATGCTGGTTAGAAAAGGCTAAATTATGTTGTGTGAATATTGTATAAAGGGCATTTTATGAATTATGAATTAAATATGGTAGACATACTATTCACTGTTACATATTCTGTATCACCTGTTTTTTTTACTATTTAGGAGGCTAAGAATATGCTGGTTAGAAAAGGCTAAATTATGTTGTGTGTTTGTGTATTATTTTTCTAATGCTCTGTTTACTGTAGCTTACCACAGTAAATCTAGTGTCAGCGTTATGCCATGATAGACTGGAGGTCCTTCAGTGACAAGGCCCCTCCCTCCCTATTCCATTTTGTATGGCCCAGATGTTACTAATGTAGAGCCCTATAGCTTAGTTACTGGGTTTATAGGTCTTACTTTTAAAAAGCAAAAAGTTCTGGCCGAGGGCAGGATGGGGCAGAATCTTTGAGGAAGTGAGATTGCATCCTTCAGACGAGACATCTAGTAAGTTTTAACCTACCAGATTTCATGTCCCATATACTTCCAAAAGAGACATGCAATTTCCTTGAACCAGAGCAGTGTGACAGCATTAGGAAGAAGTGAACGCTGATAAAAATTGCTTAGGTTAATCCTCAGCAGTCTGAAAAAGAAGATAAATTATATTTCCCTAGGTCAGAAAGAACCAATTTGTCTTGGTAGGTAGTGAGTGTGGCACTTGAAGCAGGTATTTTTGAGAGTAACTTTTTCTCACCACACATGCATTCTCATCTTTCATTACATGTTCCCCTTCCTCCTTGCATGTGCTATTTTTCTTCTGTTTTTTTCTGTCCCTGTTTTACCATCTCTTGATTTTCATCTCCACCGACACTCATGTGCACTTCTGAGAGTTGAGCCAGTTAAGTAATTTTCTATTTTCCATTAATGAAGGAATATATCATTCTGTGTAAAACTGAACCTTACCCTTTAAACCTCAGAAGATTTTTAACTATTTTGAGGGCAGTTTTCTAAAGTTTGACAGACAATAATTAATTTCTGACAAAGTACACCAAGTGTGGTGCTCAGTCCTCTGGGGCAACAGAGACTTCTGAGGAACTGTTATTATCTAAAAGAATTTAATATGTACCCAACTATTTGTGGGACTGTGCAAAAATAAAGTCATTGTACTGCCTTCTTTGAAATTTAGTGCCTCAGGCAAATGATACTAGATGGAAAAATATGCAAAAGGCACTGGTACAGTAAACACTAAATATGTAAATTCATTTTTTCCTATGTAGCTTACATAGTAGACCAATAAAGGATCATTTCATGTGTCAGATAGGAAACAAGATGGTTCCTGAGAGAAATAGTTTGTTCAGTAAATATTTGAGTGTCTACTGTGTGCAGTGCACGTATGGCAATGATCGTGTATACCTGATATCACATCAGGAAAACTTGAATGCCACCGAGTATCTATATATATGCAAATTCAGCCAGCATTTATTGAGCTGTTGTCATATGTCAGACAGTGTTTTATAACTAAAAAATTGTGTTTTATTCTTAAAAATTCAGTACCATAACAACCTTTCCTTTCAACAGCTCTGGCTTGCCCTAGCATCACTGTGTGTTCTTGATCAGGACCATGTAGATCGTCTCTCCTCAGGGAGATGGATGGGAAAGGATGGACAACAGAAACAAATGGTAAGATCAGAATTATTTTATAAGAATTGATCTTGTTTTTCTTTACGGGAAGCCTTAGCTTAGGTTAAAAAAAAAAAAACACGTTAAAATACACAATTATCAGTTGGTTAGAGCGTGGTCCTGATAAAACCAATGTCTGGGGTTCAATACCTGTACCAGCCAGCCAAAAAAATACACAATTAGAAGAACTCATGAAAAATTATGTCCCATTGGCCAAATTCATCTCACAGGTCTGTTTCACTTAGAGTTACCTCTTCATGGTATATTAGAAACTTTAGGGGCTTCTATTTGATTATATAAAAGAGCTCTATTCTCCTTCTCTGAGTCATGTTTGCACCATATCAAACTTTGTTTTTAGCCAGACTCTGATTCTGCGTCTAGATTTTGTACTAAAATATAATCACTGTCATGGTAGGAAGGAAATAAAGCAGTGAGAGAGGCTTTTTCAGTGTTTTCTTATTAATGTTCAAGTTTCAAAAAATTCATTTGGCATACAGAATATTTGATTATACAGTAGTGAAAATATTTCTTAATTCACTAAGCAGTGTACTTGTTCATTTTATTAATCACTGAACTGGGGGTTTTGAGAGATTTTTATAGTTAAGTACATTTGCCATAATTCTGTTCAACATTCATATTCTAAATTCTTCATAGACTTCTGGATAATGGTCTGTTATTGTAAATAAATTACATTCAGTTTTTATACAAGTTATCTGGGACTTTCTTGTTAATCTCATATAACATATGGAAATGTCTTGTTTTAGCCTATGTGTGATAACCATGATGATGGTGAAACTGCAGCAATCATTTTATGCAATGTCTGTGGTAATTTGTGTACTGACTGTGACAGATTCCTTCATCTTCATCGACGAACCAAAACTCATCAAAGACAGGTGAAGATTTCTGTCTTTATACCTAAAACAGTATCTGAAGCTTAAAGATATATTCAGTGAACTTCGAAATGAATATGGGAACAAGTCTTGGTGTAGTGGATATAAATGGACTTTAAAATCAAGACCTTGGTTGAATTCCCACCTGTCTCATTTATCAACTGTAAATTGAGCACAATGTTTAACCTTTCTGAGACTTAATTTCCACTTTTATAAAAATGGGGTTGTTGTGAAGATTAAAGAGGAGAATTATTATTGAACAATTAAAGTTTATACTTCCTCTTTCAGAGTGATAAATGAATATGTTTTTCTCTTTTTCATTAATGAAACAATAGGTCTTCAAAGAAGAAGAAGAAGCTATAAAGGTTGACCTTCATGAAGGTTGTGGTAGAACCAAATTGTTCTGGTTGATGGCATTAGCAGATTCTAAAACAATGAAGGCAATGGTGGAATTCCGAGAGCACACAGGTAAAAGAGGATAGAAGATTAAAGCGTGCTTTAAAAAATAAATTGAACCATGCCTACTGATTATGGCTAACTAGATGTTCGTCCATTTAATGTGAATAATTTTGAATGATATTTGATGTTTAATTACGATATCATTGATCACTGTCTGTATTATCATATTTACTAGACACAGTGTTGTATGGTGGAAAGAGGTTAGACTAAAAGTCCAGAGACCTGGTTTGCCCCAACTAGCCTTGTGACTTTGGACAAGTCATTTAATCTTTCTGGAACTCACTGTCTTCTTTAGTAAATTGAGATGGTTGTCCAGAGACACATGTCACTGATAACCTTCAGAAGCACTAGATACATTCCCTTAAGACAGTATTGCACACTAATGGGGGCTCCATAGATAACATATACTTCTAGTGATATACCCTTCAAGTTCTGTCAGTTGTAGCCCCACAGTAAGAATAGCTGCACTAGATGATCATTAGATCTCTTTTAACTTTAAGGCTGTATGATTTTATGATATTTTCAGAGGTTTATATAGAACTAGTACTTCCAAATGGTACTGTTCCCATTGATAGTAATAAAATAATTAATAGAGAACAGGATAAATAGACATTACTTTAAACAAATAGTAACTTGTATAAGCTTAATGTACTTTTATCTCCAAAACATACAGTTTTCATTTTACATTTCTAAAGTAAATCATGTATATTTCTAGCTTAAATTACATTGAATCTTACAAATTATCAGTTTAAGCACATCTGAAATCTTCTGTTTGTCTGACTGACACAAACTTCTGATGTTGGAGGTTAGGTGTAAACCTTAATAAATTTAACCCTAAATATGAGTGACATTTCACACTACCAGAGCATGGCCTTCTTTTTTCATAGCTGATTTTTTTTCCTTCTATAATCTGTCAGTGCCATATATTACATTAATAAATGTTCTGAGGTTGAACCATCCTTGTATTCATGATATAAACTATTCTTTTTTAAAAGTATATTTTCTGTAAATATTGCTGAATTCAATATATTCATGTTATATTTACATTTTTGTATTTGTGTTTAAAAATAAGCTTAGTCTGCAATTTTCAAATCTTCATGTTCTATTGCTGTGTTCTTGTTTTATGGATTCTGTTTGTTCCTTTAAACATTTCAAATATATTCAAATTCCTCTTCAAATTGCAGAGTTCCTTCAGTAGGAAATCTTCTGTTCAGTGTCATACTTTCTGATAATAGGCTTTTTCCTATGCCTTATAATTTTTTTATTATATAAAGATGCTTCAGGATTTCCCTTCTGTGTATTTTTATTTAATTTTTGGTTGTTATATTTTATCTGGTAATGTGCATTTGGAGTGGGGTGCTTGCCACATCTGCTCAGTATGGTAACTTGACTAGAAGTCTACTCTGTTTCTTTTACTGAAAAAGTATAAATAAATCAGTCAAGAATTTATTTGGTTTCAGAGAGGTCTTTAGTTTCTTATCCCTTATTTTGCAATTGCCTACTTTAAAATTAGGGCAACTTACAACTCTTCAGCTATAAAACCATCAGGCTGATTTCCCAGTTAAGACAACCAATACAAACCTAGTTAGATTTTTCTTTTTTTAATTAGTTATATTAAAACATGTAGAAAACATATCCTCAAGGAAGATTTTTCTTTTTCTGCTTGAACTTAGGCAAACCCACCACAAGTAGCTCGGAAGCATGCCGTTTCTGCGGTTCCAGGAGTGGGACAGAGTTATCTGCTGTTGGCAGTGTTTGTTCTGATGCAGATTGCCAGGTGAGTGTGTAGTTAGACAGTCAGGCCATCTCAGCGAGGATAGCACATATTCCCACATGACTCCTTTACTTCATATAAGTAAGAGTCATAGCTCAGCATCTCTCCAGTTTTCAAAATTAGTGTGTTATCTAAGTCAAGATCTAAATGCTGTATCAACCTGGAGAATGGATCAAATAAGCCTCTCAGTCCCAAACCAGAGTTTTTGAGTGTTTCTCAACTACCACTATAATATGCATTTAAGTTTACTTTTGTGTTAGAAGAAGTTAAAAATCTTTGGACTGCATTTCCTTTACCTCTTACATACTTTATTCATTTATTTCCCTAAAATAAATTTCCCGTATGTGAGGGTTCTTTAGTCTTGAACATAGGAGGGGTCTTCAAAAAGTTTGTGGAAGGATTCATATATCTTTTAATTCAACTTTCCCACAAACTTTTTGAAGTACCCTCATAAAGACACATATTCCATGTTATCTAAATATTTTCAGTTCCTCAATTCATTTAACAAAAATTTGAATATGCTCAGATAGTGAGAGATACCTGGTGTTTTTTTTTTAATCCTCATTTTGGCAAGGGAAATGTGATTAGGAGATTATACATCAGAACTTTTTGCTTCATGGCTGTACACAATAACAAATACATTAAAATTATAATTCACTTTTTATCAGCATTTCCTTTACATGGAGTGAAAATTTTTAAAAATCACATTTAAAAAAAACCAGACTTTGTTAATAATCCTAAATTATATTCAAACAAATAATAAAAATAACTTGACTTTGTTGTTAACCTTAATAGGTATTTCCTGTGGGAAAATAATATTGGAAAATTAATATGATATATACAATTACCAGAATGTGTGCTTTTTAAATAATTGTGTACCATTATAATTCATCTTTAACAGGAATATGCTAAGATAGCCTGTAGTAAGACACATCCTTGTGGCCATCCCTGTGGAGGTGTTAAAAACGAAGAGCATTGTTTGCCCTGTCTGCACGGCTGTGATAAAAGTGCCACAAGACTGAAGCAAGACGCGGATGACATGTGCATGATATGTTTCACCGAAGCCCTCTCGGCGGCACCAGCCATTCAGGTTGCCTCAGCTTTTAAAGAATTAAGTATATCTAGACTTTAAGATGGGAAATATAAATATATTTGTCAAATAAAAAGGTTGTTGAAATCTTATATCACTAAGCAAAAATGTCCATATGCATCTGCCAGGTTAATGAGGAGCAAATTCTGCTTCTTTGTGTTCTGCTTCCCATTTTGTGTGCTCAGCTTTAATTTGTGATTTGTGTGAGCATGTGTAACCAATAGAGTGTATAAAATGTTCAGAAGTGGGGGAAATAATCAGATTATCCAGTAGCTATTCTCAATTTCCAAATTCCAGAATGGCATTTTTATAGCATTATGAAATTGATCTGTACATAAAGATTCACACTTATATATATAATAGAAGTTAGTATGTGCTAAGTGTGTTTTAACTTTTATCAGTGGTTTATATTTATTTTCAGTTCTCATGACTCCAAGATAATAAATATTCTCAAAAAAAAAAATCTTAAATCTTTGAATCAGTAGTTTCCTCTTTTTTCATGAGATACAAAATTGAATAATTTTACATTTCTTCCTAACCCTACTTACTTTAGATAGGTGGCATTAATATATGAATGATAAAAATTGGGAGCTGAAGGCCTAGTTAATAATGTCCCATGAATAAGAGAGAAGTGCTGAAATTTCATTGTTTCTTAATTTTTGTCTTACCTGCTTTAAGTAGCATCTTGCATTGAATAATATCCCAGTTACTCAGACATTTACTACTATCACATTTGCTCATATCCTTCTTTTATGTTTATTTAAGCTGGACTGTAGTCACGTATTCCACTTACAGTGCTGTCGACGAGTTTTGGAAAACAGATGGCTTGGTCCAAGGATAACATTTGGCTTCATATCTTGTCCCATTTGCAAGGTATGGAAAGCATCAGAAGTTATCTACTTTCTATTTCTTTTCATCTTTATTTTCATCGTGTGTCAGCATCTCTTAGCATTCTTCCCAGTCTATTTTTTACACACCAGGCCCCATCAATTTCTGTCCTGCTCATCCAGGTGGTACCTAAGAATATTACACAATCTCTCTGTTATAATGCATTTCAAAACAGTAATTGTCAGTTAAAAACCGGTTAAATTGTATTGAACATATTGCATGAGAAAATTCATTTACACATCATCATGCATTAGAGAACATACATCACTACTCTTAGATCCCCTAACTGCTCAGACCACATGACATGACAATAGGTGATTACCAAAAAGAAAAAGCATCCTTTGTTGTTTATAATTGCTGATCCCTACATTTAAAAATAAAATTGGAACCTTCAGTGCTATTAGAACAGGTTCTTTTAGAGCTCGGTTAATATAAGGAGAAACTTTTAGGCATTTTGATACATCCCTACAAAGGTAATAAGCAAGTAGAAAGTTGTGGCAGGCTAATAATGATTAACAAAAATCCCTTTTTAAGAATGTGACATTGCCTTCCCAATTAACTCATCATTACTTTTTGTTCTATTAAGTTCTCCCTATTTATCTCCATATTTGCAGGCTGATGTAAAGGGTATAATATGGAAAGACTTAGAACAATTACTGCTAAGTTAGACTGAGAAATAGTCAAAAAGATTGTAGTAATTTGCTCTCCATTCTCATGGTGCCACAAAGAAAGGTCATATTAAAGAATCTGAAAATAGAGACATGAAGGTGGTATAGAAAATATTACCTGCTCATTTCTGTCACTTGACATTCTACCTACCCTAAAGGAACCAGCACGTGCACACACACACAGAATGTGTCTTATATGTGGCAGCCAGATCACTTTTTATTCACAGAACAGCTAAGGCAGCAGGAGATACATTTCAGACATGGGAAATATAAATCTAATAAAATGGAGTTTTCATGCTCTGTGCCCCATTTGCCCCCAGTTTCCTTGATCCTGAGAAAATATGGGCTTGTAAAGACTTCACAGGATTATTTTAAATGGCATTGTATGTAGAAAATGTTTACTGTCTGGTTATTTCCTAGCATAGTGCTCAGCACTTAGGTGCACACTAACTGTTTGTTGAATTAATAAACAATTCTGTTAAAGAACTTTTTTTTTTTTTAATTTCAGAACAAAATAAATCATATAGTATTAAAAGACTTGCTTGATCCAATAAAAGAACTCTATGAGGATGTCAGAAGAAAAGCCTTGATGAGGTTGGAATATGAAGGTCTGCATAAGAGTGAAGCCATCACAACTCCTGGTGTGAGGTTTTATAATGACCCAGCTGGCTATGCCATGAATAGATATGCATATTATGTCTGCTACAAATGCAGAAAGGTATGCTATAAATTATAGTAAGAAGTTTTAAGAACTAGAGATTATCTATATGATTAAGAAGTTGGATTATATAATGATATCTAATTATGCTTTCATCTCAAGCCTGAAGTTAAAAATGAGAAAGCATGGGACAGTGTTTCAGGTTGAACTTATTTACTTAATTTGTTTTGTTTTGTTTTGTTTTGTTTTTTAACCTAAACAAACTATCTCCAAAACATGTAATATTTCTGTATACAGGCTACTTCCTATCAGTAATAACCTCTTGTTTGCCCAATCCAATTGGTTCCTGAATAAACTTTTCTTTGACTTTACTTGACTCTGTTAACCCTTCTGTCCTTAAAATTCTGACTTCCCTGGCTTCCAGGAAAACACTCTCTTTTGATGACCTTCCTTTCTGGTCATTTGTCTTTAACTCGTTCATTGGATTCCTTTTTGTTTATCTACCCCCTACATATTTGTTTTCCCAGAGCTTTATTCTTGCCTGATAATACCTCTGTATGTCTGGTGCCTTCCTTTACAACCACGCCTTCGCCAACTGCCTGCCAGACATTTGGATTTTTCACAAATACTTCAAAGTTCACATCTCATATTATATTCATCAACCTGGTTCTCCCAATTTCTAATCTTTATTTACGAAGTCCTGTCAATTCTATCTCCAGATCTTCCTTGAGTCCTTTTTTTCTTTTTATTACATCTTCAGCAACCCTAATCATTGTCTTTGATAATTATAGTAGCTTTCTTCCTGAGCTCTTATGTGGAGCCCCTAACACCTCATTCCATTCTTCACACTGGTACTAGTAGATTAATATTTCTAGAACTCAAAGCTAATTGTGTCATTTTTCTGCTTATAATCCCATAGCCCTGTCTGCCACACCAGTCTCATCTCCAAATATGCTACCATTTGCCCTCCATGCAACAACATACTGAACAGCAAGCATTTCCCCAAATTCAGCCATGTTCGCTCCCTCCCTGATACCTCCACACCACTGCACAGGCCATTTCTCTTCAGGGAATGCTCTTCCTCTGCCTCCTCCTGCACATTTTACTCTCATCTTCCACCCCCACACCATACATCCATGCTCACATGCAGAGCCAAGTCTTGCTAGTCATATGTCAGGGCTCACCTCAAGTTCCACCTCCCCTGCAATGGGCTCCATCTCACCACCACCACCACCACCATACAACTTGGATATCTTGCATGCATGCATCCTAACGCTCATCATTCTGCATTATGATTACTGGTTTACTTGTCTTTCTGCCCCGCTTGGTAAGTTCCATGAGGACAAAGACTGTTTTTTCATTTCTCTGTCTCCAGTACTTGGCACTTATTAGATACTAAGTAGAGAATGAATAAATGAGTGAAAGAATAACTAAACAAACGAAGCATAGTCCCACAATGTAACAAAAAGAAAATACAGATAATGAATGGAAGACTAAATAGATAGATGAGGCCAGAAAGGCAGACAGATATACATAGACCCCAGGAAATACCAATAGTGTACATTTGTGAAACGTGTATTATTACAAATAGTAAATATTATTTCTGTGGGTTTCATGTGCTTCACATCATAAATGGATACTGTGCTACCACAGGGATGGCAGTCAAATGCTTAAGAAGCCAAGTAGAAGATACAGAAAAGTGAAACAGCAGTAGGCCCCAAGACAAGTTGAACTACTTCTAAGGCCAGATTTAGCTGGTGGATGACCATTTATAAACTTGTGCATCAGTGGAGCCTGTCTTTTGACCTGTTTTTCTAGTACAGATAATAGGTTTATATTGAGTGAACTTCATTGTTCCCAATTTGGACTTAGCTTTTTGACTGTGGGACGTGATATGCATGCAAATTGTCCCAATTTCTTGGTCTCATTTATTTTGTGCTCAAAGAAAATACAGATAAATCATCCATCATGATAGTGTCATTTATTCAAGTGTCTTTATTGGATACTGTTGAGATTCTGCATGTAGTCTAGCTTTAGAAATATAAGCAATATTTTGGATAGAAATTTCAAAATATTCCAAATTTGTCTTTGCTTTTAAAAAATGTTTATATGATCAGAAGATGCTTAAAATTGACTTTTTCTTTCCCATTAGCTTTGGAATTATAATTCAATACTAATAACTTATTTCAGGCATTTTTTTGTTCTATGGTATTATAATTTGGGAATGTGTAAGCATATTTTTAAAGCAGTAGAAGGGAATATGTTGTTTAATATTCAAAATGAGAAAAAAATTACTCAAACTTTACCCTGAAAAAACAGTTTCTATTTACTACTTAATATCCTATTCTTGATATTTATTTGTAATATTATACATTCTTTTATCATTTTGCTTTGACAGTACAATGTTTGAACTCCTACTGTAAGCATGAATTCATTCCAGAATTGAAACAGCTTTATTTCTTACTCTGATCTACCCTCCAGTCAGCAATATGGCGTACACTTGACATTGCAAGGGAGTGACTAATAGACTGTAGTATTTTCTAAGAACTTTTTATCTTAATTTCACTATGCCCATACTGTGTCTCCTATGCCAGAGTTTTGTTGTTTCCTGCTGTAATCTAAATGTGTTCTCTCCATAGGCATATTTTGGTGGTGAAGCTCGCTGTGATGCTGAGGCTGGACAAGGGGATGATTATGATCCCAGAGAGCTCATTTGTGGTGCCTGTTCTGATGTGTCCAGGGCTCAGGTGGACAGAATATTTGATTAGAAAGGACATTTTAGACACGCTAAAATTCTGTATTTTAAATAATAATATAACCAATGTGGTGGGAAGGTGAACCAGGTTTTCTCCCCAGTATTTTCTGATATTTGTGCAGCATTGTATAATTTTCTAAATTATTTCGTATATATTATTTCTTTTGGATGGTATTTTCATTTTATAATATTGTCTTCTAGTAACAGACTTATTTATTTCATTTTCATAAACCTGCAAGTACACTTTCAGGTTTTCTCTTCAGTGAAATCATCACAGTACATGTATGAGATTGGGAGACAAATGAAATATTATTGATTTTCAGTTTGACAGACAAGAAACATTCACAAGGAAATTTTAAGTAGTTTGCTTATTAAATCAGATAGGTTATAATGGAAATGGGATTAAAATTTGGGTCTTTGTCCAGACTTTTGGGCAAAACCACACATTTATTTACTTATTAATTTTTTAACTTGTATATCATCAGTTTTTCAGTCAGTCTTGAGAGCTATGTATGCTCTCAAAATATGAATTAATGGGCTATGTATATGACTATTTTAAGTATAATTGAAATATTCTTCCTATGATCTTATGTCTGTGTCTTTTCTTTTGCTATAGATGTGTCCCAAACATGGCACAGACTTTTTGGAATATAAATGTCGCTACTGCTGTTCGGTGGCTGTCTTTTTCTGTTTTGGAACAACACATTTTTGTAATGCTTGTCATGATGATTTTCAAAGAATGACTAGCATTCCTAAGGAAGAACTACCACACTGTCCTGCAGGTATGCTTTTAGTATTTTAAAACCACAATTATGATCTATATGGTATCTAGTTTTATTTAAAGATTATATGAGAACTCTTTGTTTCAAGTGACAGAAACCTAATTAAAACTAGCCTAAAGAAGCAAAGGGAATTCCTTGACCCTTGTAAGCTTATGACTTTTTGAATGAAGTAGAAAGTAAGATCATTATCACAACTGAGGGCTTACGAGCAATAACAGAGCAGATGTCTTAGGGAATGAGAATGAAGACTCCTAAGGATTAGTAAAAAGATTGTACCAAAGGGCCATGTGAAGTTGGATGTTATAAGTTAATGATAAAACGATTTAAAAGGGTTTTGTGATTTATTTTTAAGAAATTTGGAACCAGCACCATAAAATGGATAAGTGATTTGATCTAGAATGGCTGGGAATTGGTACTATAGTGAGCATCAGAAAGCCAAGGGAATTAAAGAAGCCACTGAGAATATAGGAGAAATGATTGTCCGACTGAGAAAAAAGGAATATGAAACCAAATAGAGATTGAAAAAATTAGAAGAGGTTGGGAGGCTGGTAATTACAGTGAGGTATGAAATACCAGGTTTAACAAAATAAGAGAAGTGGAAGGAGGAGAGGTAAATGCAACTGTAGAAGAGAATTTTATATGAGATGTATCTGGAATTAGAATACAGGCACAAGTACATATAACACAATATACAGTGTCAGTAAAGCTGGTAAACACACCGTCCATTGCTTGTCACAGTGCCAATGGTAGACCCCTATGGAAAGCAGTTTTAAAGTGCCTCTCAAAAATCACCAGTATATCTACCCTTCAGCAGTCCTGCTTCTGGCATACACCTACACGTGTGAAGAAAATAAAAAGGAGCAAATATACAAGGTTATTCATTCAAGTATTGCTTATAATAATAAAAGTTCATAAACAATACTAGTATCCAGTGGAGGGTAGCTAATATTAAATATGAAGCATCAGGCCAACCCGTGGCTCACTCAGGAGAGTGTGGTGCTGATAACACCAAGGCCCCGGGTTCGGATCCCATATAGGGATGGCCAGTTAGCTCACTGGCTGAGCGTGGTGCTGACAACACCAAGTCAAGGGTTAAGATCCCCTTACCGGTCATCCTTTAAAAAAAAAAAATGAAGCATCATTAATAAAAGAAGAAGGAGGAGGAAGGAATTTTTATGTACTGATACGGAAATATCTCTAAGAGATAGTATTAAATGAAAAAAGCAAATTATACAGTAGTGTATATAGTACGCTGCCTTTTATAAGAAAAGGGGAAATGAGAATATATACTCATATTTGTTTATATTTTTACAAAGAAACACTGGAAAGATACACAAGAAACAAAATTGATTAACTACTGGGAAAAACAAGGGGAATATTGGGGTAGGGACAGTGGGAGATGACTTCTGATTGTACATAATTTTTTAACTTTTGTTTTTTAAACTATGTGAAACATATTATCTATTCAACAATAAAGATAAGTAACTTTTTTTTAAGTATGGCTGTTTTTTGCCATTTGCTATGTCAAATAAAAATTGTTATACTGTTCCCCTTCAAAAACTTTTTTTTTTAAGAAGAAGTAGTGGACTTTGAAAGAAGCAAGGTCAGAATGATGCAAGTCAAGGTGTGTAGGATAATGGCCAGAGTAGAGATATGAGCTATGATTAGAGGGAAGGAGTTGTAAACTGGAAGTCAGCAAGTTTGAGCTTCAAAGGAGGGGGGATTATTGAATGAAAGCTGTAGGTCATGGTCTGGAAATAAATGGGAACCAGGAGAAAGTCAGTCATGCTTCCTGGCCTTATGACATAGAGGAGCGTGGGGATAACCATCCTCTAGTTGAGAAAGTTTAGAGACAAGTAATGTCATTAGGGAAATTCCAAATTTTACTTAATGAAAGCAAGTTTCATCTTTGATAAAACAAAACAAAACAAACACTGAAAATAATAAGGAAGTAATGAAACAAGTGTTCCAGAGAACCCGGTGGTGGGGTAGTAGCTGAGAGAGAAGAGATCAGGCAAAGGAAGGCTTCCTCTCCTACTCATATGATCAGGTCTCTCAACAAGAAGGGCTTTGTCAAAACAGTTGTGAATCACAGGAATGAGGCAGGAAATGAGTTAGGGAGTCAGCAGAGAGAAAGAACTGACGTTGATCCTAGGCATTTTCATATATATCTTCACACTTAATTTTTATAACCTGCAAGGTAGACAATATTCCCAATGTTCACAAAAGGAAAATTGAGGCCTGAAGAGGTCAGTTAACTGGCTGGAGGTCATACTTCGATTGAAGTGTGCTCTCCCAGCCTCGCACATTCTTCTAACATATTCATTCACTTAGAGAACTGAAATAGAATTAAAGGAGACCACACAGGGATATCAGCAGGGAAGATGGACATATACAGTTCACTTAGAAGTACAGAAGGAGCAATTCTCTAACCACTCAACCCCATTGATTCTAGTCTTTAATATATGGTTGAGGACGGGGCTGGCCCGGTGGCGCACTGCTACAGTGCGCCGCTTGGGAGCGCGGTGGCGCTCCCGCCAAGGGTTTGGATCCCACATACAGACCGATTCCCGCTCACTGGCTGAGCGAGGTGCGGGCGCAGCACCGAGGGTTGTGATCCCGTTGCCGGTCTGGTCCGGTACGGGCGCGACACCAAGGGTTGCGATCCGTTGCCGGACACGAAAAAAAGACAAAAAAGACAAAAAATATATATATATATATATATATATATATATGGTTGAGGACAAGAGTCCAGATTAGGTTGAAGTAGATAATCTGTTTTAGTCCATTAACTGGGTAGCTTTTAAAAAACAGAAATTTATTTCTCACAGTTCTGGAGGCTGGGAAGTCCAAGATCAAGGTACTGGCAGATTTGGTGTCTGGCCCTCACTCACTCTTTGGTTCATAGATGGTGCCTTCTTGCTTTGTCCTCGCATGGTGGAAGGGGCAAGAGGTTTCGCTCAGGTCTCATTTTTAAGAGCACTAATACCATTCATGGGCTCCACCCTTATGACATAATCATCTCCCAAAACCCCACCTCCCAATACCATCACATTAGTTATTAGATTTCAACATATGAATTTTGGGGGGCACAAATCATTCAGACTGTAGCATCATCCCTCTTTATGCTCATTCCTTCCTAAAATATTTATTTATTACCTTCTTGGTGCCAGGATACTCAACTTTCACAGCCCCCTGTAAGTTAGATATTGCTATGCCTGTTGTAAAGATGAGAAAAATGTACATATCAGTAAAATGGGAAAACTGATTATTGCATATCTACAGTCGTTATTTCTTTGAATAACTTATCAGTGATTTCTATTTACATGAGGTTTGTGTGTATTTTTTAAAATTAAGTTCTTCGCCTCCAAAATTTATACAGGTCCCAAAGGCAAACAGTTAGAAGGAACTGAATGTCCACTCCATGTTGTTCATCCACCCACTGGGGAAGAGTTTGCACTGGGGTGTGGAGTGTGCAGAAATGCTCACACTTTTTAGAACACACAGATTTTTCATCTACGGAGAGAAAAGTTGCTTTCATCCCCCAAGAGGATGTGGTGAAGTTTAAAATCTGCTCAGGATAAGGACGGGACCATTTTTACATCCAGAAAAACGAACTATTCACAGTGCAAGAAGGATGCCAAATACCATGTACATAATTCTTGCTATGGAAAATGTCCCTATTATTTTGGTTTATCTTCTTTTGAACCAAGACATCAAACTTGTGAGGTGTTTGCATGTGGCCATTACCGTCACTGGCCTGTGAAGCATTGGACATTTATAGATAATTGACATAAAAGAATCGCCATGCCATGGACTAAGAATGATGCTGGCTTTCAAGCAAAAAATAATAATAATAATAATCATTGTTTATTGTATACTGCCTTTTTGTAATCCTGTACAATTGCATCACAGGTGGGATAAAAAGAGGAATATTCTGGTTTATTTCCTAGACTGTTATTTAAAAAAAAAAAATTTGTGTTAGGACAGCATATAAATGTAATAAGTATCACACTGTATATAAAGATATCAGTGTTTGTCCTGTATAAGAACTACTAAATTACAAATGCAGTTTCATTTAAACTTCTAGGTTAAGTTTGAGCCTGAAATTTTAATGAAGTGCAATACTGAGTGTGCCTCATTATCTTGCAGCTGTAAACATATTGGAATGTACATGTCAATAAAACCACTGTACATTTTTATACAGTGATAAAGTCTAACACTTGTGTAAGGTATTGTTTGAGAAACAAAATTTAAACACCTTTGAGGTTTAAAAATCCATCCAATTTAACTAACACAGCACAATCATAATTTTCCTGTTTGGGAAAATTAGACTGGTAATGAAGTTCAATGTTGGAATCTTAATTCAACACTGAATACATACGAGGGGTCTTCAGAAGGTTCCTGGGAAGATTTGTATTATCTTTTAATTTCATTTTTCCACAAACTTTTTGAAGTACCCTCATGTATATACATTCATAAACAGACATATACCAAAGACAGAAGAAAGCCTTTAGGAAGTTCTGTCTTAAGCAGATTTTTTTTTTTTTTTTGCAGCTGGCTGGTAAGGGGATCTGAACCCTTGGTATTACCAGCACTGCACTCTCCCAGGTGAGCTACCGGGCCAGCCCAACAAGCAGCTTTTTGAACTGTTAAAATCATTATTTTTTTCTTTATCTTCTTAGACTACAGTGGGTTTAGGTAGACCTTTTTTTGCACTTGAGTCACGAAATTGCCAAATTATTGATTTATGAATCATAAATCAGGTGATATTTATTTCATAAAACTAACAAAACTTTTGATCCATTTTATTCTAAATTCCCACTGTTAGAAATATAGAAATTAATTTGTCAATATAGAAATCATTGACAAATATAATGACATTTGTGTTGAGGGTTTGTGAGAAATGTAAAATAATCTTTGCCTTGAAGGCACTTAAAACATAAAGATGAGATCTGAGCACAGGTAACTTTTACAGAGTGTTCTAATAAATTTCATAAAAATGTCTAAGCCAGGGCCGGCCCGGTGGCGCACTGGAGAGTGCGCCGCTTGGGAGTGTGGCGGCGCTCCCGCCGAGGGTTCGGATCCCATGTGGGGTTCAGATCCCATGACCGGTTCCCGCTCACTGGCTGAGCGCGGTGCAGGCGCAACACGGAGGGTTGCGATCCCGTTGCTGGTCCCCGGTACAGGCGTGACACCGAGTGTTGCGATCCCGTTACTGGTCAGTAAAAAAAGACAAAAAGGAAAAAAAAAAAAAATGTCTAAGCCAGATGCTTCAGGATTTAGAAAAATCATTATTGATGTTTTGTGTTTTTTGTTGTTGGGAAGAGGCTAGTTAAGAGGCCACTTGAGCTGTATTTGAAGAGTAATTAACATTTCAAGGAGCAGAGGTGTAGAGAAAAGCATGAGAAAAAAAAAATCAATAGAAAAATTTCGAATGTGGTTAAAGAACAGTGAGTACTCTGAGTGTACTGGCTCAGGGTTGCTTTAAAATGTTTCCAGAAAACACAAAATAAGTACAGAGACTAAAGCTATTCCTAGATATACCCCCAGGAAATCTGGAGGGAAGAATGCAGAGAGGCCATTGTAAATATATTTGATTTCAATTCACAGGCCACAGGAATGAAACTCACCTTAAGAGTGCCACACAGAAAGAGAACTTCATGGACTCTTAAGAACTGTAATGAATACCATCTTGTATCCATTAACTTTGCTGGCAAATTGATTGGCTCCATTTTGTAAGTAGTAATGGAAAAGAAAGGAGACAGGAAACTATTGAGATGGCTTGGAGAGCCAACTTCAAGCTAATATTCTAGCAATGAAAAGGATAAAACCAGCGAAGGCCTATAATGTATACTCACAAGACTTGAGTAACTTATCTTCATTTTTGAGGAAGCCATTTTTAAGTATATGGTCCTAGCATCTCAAAACCAGAAAACTTAAATTTTTTAGGAATAAATGTGATAAAGCACAAAAAGGGGATGGCTTTATTTGGCTCAAGCATCTTGTGCACAAAGACCATCCTTTGAATGCCGTGTGGAATATAGTAGGAAAGAAACAAAAGCAGAATCACAATAGTGGGTGCTAGTGAATCTTTCTGGAAAGAAACTTTTATATTTTCAGGATTAGGAAAGGCCATTTTTTTACAGTTTTCTGGCTAGATTGTTTAGGCCTAAAATCTCCCTATTTTATCAATAAGCTTATTTGATAAAACATATGTAGTACTCTATTTACCTTGCATTCACAATGTTTACTAATTTGCCTTCTCTGGTTTTCCATCCCCCACATCTCTCCCTGACCACGTTCTTACCATATTCCACCTATACATAATCACATGTGTTTCTAAAGGTGGCTGTATGATGGAACATTGCAGCTTATTTTCCTGAAAACTGTCAATAGTACATAAAGAGTGCTGGGATCGGAATGGGAAGACCTGAGTCCAAGTCCTGACTCTGCCCCTTTTTGGCCTATGTGAGCTCGAGTCAGCCACTTAATCTTTTATGTCTCAATTTCTTAGAAATAGTACCAAAACTAAATCAAACGAGCAAGTATTTACAAAAGTGCTTGGTCCCACAGTTAAGTATAATTCAGAAGAGAAGAGGAGAGGAGAGAAAGAACATTTACTTAACACATCCTAAATGGCAGACACTGCATTAGGCATTTTATTTAATCCTCGAAGCAACTCTGGGAGTAAAGTATTATTAATCTCATTTTAGCTGTTTAGAGAAGTTAAATGACTTGTACTAGATTCCAGCTGTATTTGGCTGAAAAAAATCCTGAGATGTGAATCCAGAACTTTCTGTCCCTAAAGTCCAAGCTCTACCACATCATGCTATTGCTATTATATTACCAATGTTTCTTTTAAAAAAAAGTAATTAATGAAATAGTAACTGGACACTTGTAATATAGACAAGGTTGCAAAGGGACAAGACACTATTTGCTTCCAGGAGTGTTCAGTATAGTTGGCAGGTGCCCATCCTGGAGCACTGCAGTTCAGACCTCGTTTCAGAGGAGATCCCACCTCAAAGAGTCTAGTTACCTGACAGCCTCCAGCTGCAGCAACTGTGTGACCCATCCCAGCATTTGACCTAAAGCCACACTCTTCCAGGGTAGCCACAGCCAATGGCAGAGCATGGCTGGAGTTCTAGGGCCTGTCCATTTCTGCCCAAGCAAGCACTCCTTATGGGCAATCTTTACACCGGAACTCAGGCTGACCAAGACTTTCTTAGAGCTGCACTGTAGTCGGAGGCTTTTCCTACCCTATCTTATCTTCCTTCTCCCTCTCCTTTCATAGATACCAAACCTGCATTGCAGTCTAAAGGCTCTCCCTGCCTACTCCTCCTTCACCCATTAATCTTTCATGGGCATTACCCCCAACAGACTTTCTCCGCTTCTAACTTGATCTTGGCATCTGTTTCCTGGAGGACCTGACTAACACAGGAGGATAATACATTTTAAATGACTTATTTATCGCCACTTCATTTCACAGACATCTTATATCACTTCACAAATGTCTTAAGATGACTTAGAAAAACATAGCTAGACTATAAAAAGTTATATACCAGAGAGAGTTACAGTGAAGAGAAATTATGAGAGAAAGTAAAAGCAAGATTAGAGAACAGTGTCCAGCAAGTGACCATATAGTCTTATATAGTCGCTAAAGAACAGGCCACCAACCTCGCAGTAAATTTCTTAGCTAACCAACCAAGGCAAGAAACATATTCACTTACAATGTCCATTTCCTCATAAGGAGCAAATGCAGGTAGAGTTGAAGAATGGATAAGTTTTGACAAGAACAAGTGGGAGAGAATATTTCAGGAAGAGTATGGTGAGAATTAAGGCATTGATGTGCTCAGAAGTGTAAGCTGTTTTGCTTCATTAATTCATTTAATAAATATTTGAGCACCTGTTCTAGGTCTGCACTTGACAGTACATGCTCATGAGGATGGGAACTGTGTTCCCAGTTGCTTAGTAACCATGACTTCCACATAGAAGGTGCTTGGTGAATGAAGCGTATGAGTTAGTGGGTAAATACATGCAGCACACTGTGCTAGGTGGTAGGGATGAGATATTCACAGAACACAAACACAGAAACATAGATAATACAATGTTACTAAGAATTATAACCTAGGTTTTATAATAACAGGAGAAAACATTCATTTACAGTGGACAAGCACTGTGCTAATGCATGGTAGTAGCAGGCAGAATAATAGCCCCCAAATCTGTTCACATCTCAATCCTCAGGATGTATGAAGATGTTACCTTACATGGCAAAAGGCACTTTGCAGATGTGATTAAGGATACAGACCTTAGGATAGGGGATTATATTGAATTAACACGGTGGACCCAATGTAATCACAAGTTTCCTAATACAGAGAGAGGAGGCAAGAGGGACAAAGCCAGAGAAGGAGATGTGATGACAGAAGCAGAAGCCAGAGATAGAGAATCGATGCTACATTGTTGGCTTTGAAGATGGAGGAAGGGGTCAGGCACCAAGGAATGTATGCAGCCTCTGCAAGCTGGAAAGGGCAAGAAATACGGATTCTCCCCTGGAGCCTCCAGAAGAAATGCAGCTCTGTTGACACTGATTTAGCCCATTTCAGGCTTCTGATCTCCAAAACTGTACAATGATAAACCTGTGTTGTTTTAAGCCACCAAGTCTGTGGAAATTTGTTACAGCAGCAATAAGAAATGAATACAACAGGCTTCACAGGCATTATCACATTTTCATCTTCTACAAACCTATGAAGTATTTTTATTCTTTTACAGATGAGGCATCTGAGTCTCAAAGAGAAAAAGAATGGAAAATATCTCAATATTTTTATATTGATTACACACAGAAATGATAATATTTTGGATATAGTGGGTTAAATAAAATGCGTTATTAAAATTAATTTCATCTGTTCCTTCTCACATTTTTTAAAAATGTGGCTACTAGAAAAATTTTAATTACACTTGTGGCTTGCATATACATTAAATGAACAGTGCTGGCCTAGAATCTCATTCGCAACAGTTTGATTTTATCATCCATCATTGTATCTTTTTGATCAAGAGACATGCCCAGGTATGTGCTTTAAGAAGATGGCATAGGAAGGTGAGAAGGTGGTATGAAAGATACTGTAACTGGAGAAGACCAGTTGGGAAATTACAACTGTGGGCTCAGGAAGAACAGAAAAAGGCCCTTTCAGAATCATGAAACACACTTTTTTCCTTTGAGATG